AAAAAAAAAAAAAAAAGAGAGAGAACAAGAAGTGCCTTAGGAAGTATGGCAATAAACTTTCAAACACCACAGATGAGAAAAGACAAAAAGAAAAATGAAAGACTCTTTTAAGCTCACTACAAAGAACTGCTCAGTATATAAATACTGAAAATTACCACTAGGAAGGATTTTAAAGTTACTGGAAAGTTTTACGAATAACATGTTTATCTTTATATGATTAAAAAGAAATTCTTTTTAAAAATGACGGACTGTAATTCCCAAGTTTCATCTTTTTCAATGTTATGAACTTTTTATGGATGTGGAGAACTGAATAGTAACAACCATTTTAAATAGCACAGATCATGAAGACAACACAGCTTTCTTCAGGGAAAAATAAGCACATAAACTGCTATACAAAAGCAACTCCTTCCCCAACATCAAATATTTTTTTTCTTTAAAAAAGGCAAAGCTACTGATTTTAATAAAGGAAATAAAAAGTCATCAGGGCCGGGGATTTAGCCCAGTGGTTCCGTCGCCTGCCTCACAAGCGCAAGGACCTGAGTTCAATCCCCGGTACCAAAAAAAAAAAAATGTTTAAAAATTCAAGAAATTTCTAAAATTTTTCCTGAGAAGCTTCAGAAGCAGCTTACATGAAATTTAATAAAATGGATTTGATAAAAAGCTGCCCTTCTTTATCACCTATATTTCTACAGAGTAGTGGTAGCCTACAGAATTTGAATATCTCTATGAACTCTAAAATACAAGATGGATTCAACAAATATACCAAAATTAATATTACAACCAAGAATATGACTTCAAAGGGAGTTAACACACTTACTCCAATAACGGCTACTGGATTGAGGGTGTAGCTCAGTGGTGGAGTGCTTGCCTGACCACAACCTAAGTCCTATGTTCAATCCCTAACACCACCAAAAATAAAAGGATTATGTTACAGTAATAAAAAGTTCCACAAACAATTTGAAAAAGATTATAATCACTGCTAAATCTGCTACCTTTTATTTTTATTTATTTTTTCGTACCAGGAATCAAACTTAGGGACTTGCGCTTGCCAGGCAAGCATATGCTGCTGAGCTACATTCCCAGCCCCAATCTGGTACCTTTTTTTTTTTTTTTTTTTTGCTACCGGGGATTGAACTTGGGCGGGTCCTTGCACTTTCGCAGCAGGCGGCAAAACCACTGAGCTAAATCCCGGCCCTGGTACCTTTTAAAGTCACCATCACTTTTTGCTTTTGCAGTGCTGGGAACAGAATGCAAGGCCTCACACACGCTAGGCAAAGGCTCTACCACTTACCTGAGCTACATTCTCAGCCCCAAGTCAACAACTACTGTGACAACAGCATTCAGCTGAAGATACCCATTGTGCTATACTTTGTTAAAAATTATTTCTAAAGCATATATAAAATCAAGCATTTAGAGAATTAAATAATTCCTATGCATTTTTGTATGTATTCTGTGAAATGCAAATGTTTCTTAGCTATCAAATTTCTTTGAGATTCTCCCTATGTAATCCAGGCTGGCTTGAACTCATGACCCTCCTACCTCAGACTATCAGAGTGCTGGGACTACAGGTGTTCACCACACCTGGCTCCAAAAATAATATTTTAAAACCTAAAGGATAATAATTGAGAAATTTCAGTGTTTTTTTCTTTTTTTTTTGTACCGGAGATCGAACTCGGGTCCTTGAGCTTGCAAGGCAGGCAGCGGAATCATTGAGCGATGCCCCTGAGAAATTTCAGTTTTTACTATCAAGCTTCTTAAACTATCTCTACTCTGTGGCAGACAGCACATCCCACAAGACAAAGCCTACTAAATAACCTAGGAGGAAAATGATGAATGGGGTGGGGAGCAGAGTCTCAGTATGTAGCTCAGACTGTTCCGGACGTCATGGTGATCCTCCTGCCTCAGCCTCTCAGGTGCTGGGATTACACACATGCACCACTACACCCGGCCCTAAACTTAGCTTTTAAATGTATATTTTTAATCCACCTGTGGATTAACCCTTGTGTGTGTGTATGGTACTGGACCATACCCGGGACTTCACACACTACATCCCTTGCCTTTTTTTATTTGGAGACAGGATCTCACTAAGTTGCCCAGGCTGAGCCCAAACTTGTGATCCTCCTGCCTCAGCCTCCCAGAGTACTAGGACTACAGGCAAGTGCCACCACATCTCATTCTAAGTTTATTTTTTTAAACTTAATCACTTTTAAAATTAAAATCAAAGGGCCGGGGATTTAGCTCAGTGGTTCCACCGCCTGCTTTGCAAGCGCAAAGTCCCAAGTTCAATACCCAGAATCAAAAAATAAATATTAAAATCAAGCAGAATCCTAGATAATAACTCAACTAACTACCCATATTAAAATACCTTAGCCATCCACCGCCTGCCTTGAAAGCGCAAGGACCTGAGTTCAATCCCTGTACCAAAAGATAATAATAATACCTTAGCCAGGATGAGTGCCATAAATTTGTAATCTCAGCTACCAGACAGGCAAAGGCGGGCCGGGGATTTAGCTCAGTGGTTCCACTGCCTGCCTGAGCACAAGGTCCCAAGTTCAATCCTCGGTACCAAAAAAAGACAAAAAACCCCCAAATAAACAAAAAAAACATGTCTGTAGGGCTCGGGATTTAGCTCAGTGGCACTGCACCTACCTTGCAAGCACAAGGTCCTGAGTTTGATGATCCCTGGTACTGGGGAAAAAAAAAAAAAAAGAATGAGAGACAAAGGCAGGAGGATTGCAAATTTGAGGTCAGCTTGGGCAATTTAGCAAGACTCCTGTCTCAAAGTAAAACATTAAAAAAAAAGTCTGGGGAAGGCGGGGTTACAGCAGAGCACTTGCCTGGCATGCAGAGACAAGAGGCCCTCAGTTATCAGTCACTAATTGATCTGATGACAGAGAACACTAACTCAAACTCTTCCCCACTCTACAATAATAAAAGAATTCCAATAAATAAATAAAAAAGAATTCCATATTTCTCAGTAGTAGGTTTATATTACAAAATATTGTATTTTGTATTGTGTATTAAATTTCATCAACAAAGATTTGTGGACATTCTTCTGTTTATATTAAGTACCTATTGTGCTCACTTTGGCAGCACATATACTAAGTATATAAGTATATTATATAATACACACACACACACACACACACACACACACACACACGCTTCTTGTTTTACCTCCTGGCCACAATATCTAAAATATTTACTATCTGGTCCTTTACAGAAAAATTCTGCTGAACCATGACATAGATCAAATAATAGAGTAGTAGACAAAAGTTGACAAATCTAACTCTGTTGCCTAATTTATCACTCTCTTCCTATTATTTAAATTCTTAGTGAGTTTTATCAATTAAATGTAATGTCTCTCAATCATTTTTAAAAGACTGCTGAAAGACAATTTTAACATGCCAATTCTTCAAAATACACCTTGAAATATCTAACAAACTATGTCTTGCTGTAGAAATGGGATGCTTACTTAATAAGTAGGAGTCTCCCAAGGAGTTCAGTGTCAAAAGTACTGTATACTCAAAACAGCTTAACAGTTTTTCTTTCAGTACCCGGGATTGCACTTGGGTCCTTGTGCTTGTGCAGCAGGAGGTGAAACCACTGAGCTAAATCCCCAGCCCAATGGTTTTAAGACTATAACAACAGCAAATGCTTACCACAGAAAAAGTCTCACTTAGAAATATAAACTACTTGATATATTCAATAAATACATTCTTGCAAAAGGACAAGAAACATGCATTCTATTATTAATTTGGTTAAGTACTAAATGTTACGCAGCAAAAACAAGCTCTGTACCATATCTCCAGACTCCACTTTAAGACCAGATGATTAAGGCAGCCTGTTTAAGAATGTTCATACTAGGAGCCAGGGATTTAGCTCAGTGGTGCCACCGCACAAGGTCCTCAGTTCGATCCCCGGTTCCAAAAAAAAAAAAGAATGTTCATACTACCTATTTTAAAAGTATCTCCTCTTCAGTAAGAATACTACCAAAAGGATTTAGCTCAGTGGTTTCACCACCTTCTGTGCAAGCACAAGGACCCAAGTTCGATCTCCGGTACTTAAAAAAAAAAAAAAACTACCAAAGATATAAAATGATACTTTCTGAAGCCATCATAGAACCTAACCCTTTATTATTAGATATAAGAAATATTTTTAAATTACCTATTAAACTTCTTTAGTAAGTATTTAAATTCTGGAATTCTATCAAACCGAAAATAACTAGTGGCACAAAATAAAAACACTAGTCAGGAAAATGACTTCAATCCTTTCTACTAAATTATTTCTATTGGGGCAAAAAATAGTAATAAATTGGGACTTACAAAAACTGTACCATTAAGAATTACTTTGAGGGCCAGGTATAAGCTTATAATTCCAGCACTCCAGAGGCTGAGGATTCAAAGTTTAAGCCCTGGGCCAGGGATTTAGCTCAGTGGTTCCGCTGCCTGCTGCGCAAGTGCTCGATTCCCGGTACCCCCCCAAAAAATTCCCAGTATCATAAAATAAATAACATTTAAATAATTAATTTGCTGGCTGGGGATGTAGCTTAGTGTTGGAGAGCTTGCCTAGCATGTGAGGCCTTGGGTTCAATCCCCACTGCTGTATAAAGAAAAGAAACATTCCTCCAACAAAGACTGCAATCAATTCAACTAGTCCCTACTTCACTTCAGACCTTTAGAGTTAAGCTTTTGTTTGTTTGTTTTGAGACAGGGTCTCACTATGTAACCCAGGCTGGCCTGGAACTAGGAGCAATCCTCCTGCCTCAGCCTCCCAAGTGCTGGGATTACAAGAGAACACCACCACACCCAGCTAATACTAATCTTTACTTAAAAACAGTATTTTAGGGACAGAGATTTAGCTCAGCAGCACTGAGCCTGCCTGGCTAGCACAAGGTCCTGAGTTTGATTCCCAGTAAGGGGGGGTTGTACTTTTAAGACAAAACTTTCAGATGGTTTGATCAGCTTGATATAAGATTCATAAAATGTACCTTTTGATGTTTGTTCTGGAGTTTCGATGAGACATATAAGTAAGAGTTCTGTGCAAAAATATTGGCTGTAAAAAAGTTTTGAAAATATTAAAATTAAATACAGTTTAAGTTATAAGAATGAATAAATATTGATGAATTTCATTGACTACTTACTGCTATGAGATTTCGGGTTCGAAGAAATCTATAAATCTGTGTTGGTTCTAGACAACAGGAAAAGAAAATCCAAATATTATCTAAATTTACTTACTAGTTGTCAGAAAACTATCAAACTAGCCCATGTCTTAACAAACATAAATTGATTACCTGTAAAGGAAACCATGCACTAAACATTTTTGTCAAGAAAAATGGTATGCACAAGATCAGAAGGCATTCAATCGATGGCACATAGTCATAAAATTCATCTACATTAATTTTAAACTTAAGGCGCTCTATAATTTTGTTTGTAAATCCAAGGTAGCCACTGCTATTGTGCAGAACTAAAGAGCCATAGTTATATTCATTTAGTTAAGCTAATTTAACCCAACTTCTTCCAAAAAGTAGCTGAAATGAAGACTATTCAACCAAAGAACTTTATTTATTCATGCCAAACAAGGTGAAAACTTCATTTTTAATTGGCCATTTAAAAAAATTTGTATAATCACCAGCCAAAATGGAAATCATTTTCCTTATGTCCTAATACAGATATGAAAAGCCAGTCAATATTGAAGGGGTCTGATATATTGTAATTAAAATTTTCAATGACTGTTTTTAAATCTAGTGTAATATTTTGCTCAATGTAAATATTACCTCAACATGTAAATACTGCCATAATACATGTATGGCACAACTGAGTCCCAAAGCACAAAGAACTTAGATTAAAAAGTTAAGTATATATATATATATATATATATATATATATATATATATACATACTGTCATACCTGTTACATTAATGACTTATTTTTTAAATCATGTTTAAAACAATATCAAGACAAATTAAATGAATAACTACATTATTAATTACATTAAAGCATTTACATTTCCCAAAAACTAAGATCGGTATTAAAGATCAAGCTGTTTCACATCCAGAGCTAGCTCTTAATGACAAATGCCTTCTTCCAGGTGGACAGATTAGAAGGCAAATAATTAAAATTTTCTTGGAGAGTTTATTTTCTCATAACATTTAGAAAGAAATTTAAATTTCCACCTACTCTTCAATCATTTTCATGTTAAACTAAAAGATATTTTAAGCTTTTTGTTACAACTGTTGGTCAGTTCTCCATTATATTTCCAACTAAAGGTTTTCTAGATTTTTGAAAGTCCTGTATATTAAGCAAAAGAACAATGTAAAAATTTCTGAAGAGGGTTCACATTTGTTTCAATAAAAACTGAAATTTCTTTTATTAAATTCCAATTACAATTTCATGAAGCACTAACAAGAGAGAATGACGGAAGGGTATTAAACAATGTAATATGTCTTTCCAGGCACAGCTGATACCATGCCCTTAGCATATGCCACGGTAATACTGTAAATAAAGACATTCAGCGGAGGAGCAGAGTTTATTCAAGTTTCTAGAAGATACTCAGCTGTAAGGTTACCTAAATTATAATTTCCACACCGAAGCAAACAGGAGAATAATCAAGATACAAAATTCATTAAAGAACAGTTAAGATTATTTATAGTCACGATGTTGTTTATAAATTCTTTTGTTTCTAGACACCTTGCTCTTCTTTCCCAAGTCATAGTTTCGCCCTCCAAACAGCCCTTAAAAGCAGAAATCGATATCAGAAAAGGCTGCAGAACCAAGGAAGAACTATGAGGTCGTCTCCAGAGAGGATGCTTCTGCCCACGACCTCTCAGTTTCCGTATCCATAAAATGGGCGGACAGATTTGAAAGGTTTAAAGCTTCCGACGGGGCCCTGTTCCCGTGCAGGCCAAGTTAGCGCGGAGGCACATTTCGGGCTAATGACAATTCCTTCGGTTCTGCTGAGCTCATCCCTTCCCAGGCTCAATTTTGCCCCTCGAAACCTGCACCCGAAACCTGGACACTTCTAGAGTACGAGTGGCACGAAAGGAAACAAGAACTCGTCTCGGGATTAACTGCAGCCCGTCTAAGGCCGCCCGCGACCACCGCGGGCCCGGCGCCGACCCTCTCCTCCCGGCGGACCTCGGCGGAGCGCGGGTGCTCCCGGACCCCTCGCGCCCCCAGGGCCCGGACTTCGGGCGGCCGCGGGCGCCGCAGTCCCGGCGCGGGGACGTCCCCTCCGTCTCCCCGCTCCGGAGCCAGTGGGCGCCGGGGGGAGCGCGGGCCCCGTGGAGCGTCCCGTCCCCCCATGCCGGGAGCGGGGGTTCCTGCCCTCCCGGCCTCCCACACACTCACTCTCAAAGGCCTGGAGGAAGAGCTCGTGGTCAGCCTGGACGTGCTCCATTTTCGGCTTCTTCACTGGTAACACCGCGGCCCCTGCCGCGGACGAGGAGGAGGAGGCCGAGTAACCGCCGCCGCCGCCACAGCCCCCGCCGCCGCCGGATTTGCCGCCCGAAGCCGCCGCCGCCGCCGCCGCCACCGCCGCCGCCGAACCCCCGAAGCCGCCTCCCCCGGACCCCGCGCTGGGCCCCGAGCCGCCCCCTCCCCCACCGCCGTGCTTCTGAGGCGCCATCGCGGTTCCTGCCGCCTCCCCCCGCCAGCTACCCGCCGGGCGGCCCCGGAGAGTGAGCGCCTGCAACACCAACCGCTCGCCCCAGCAGGCTCCGGCAGACCGAGGGGGGAAGGAGGAGAGAGGGGAGGAGAGGGGAAGGGAAAGGGAGGAGGAGAGGAGGGAAGGAGGGAGGAAAAAAAAAAAGTGTCTCTTCAGAGCCCAGCTCCGCTTCGGAGGCCGCTCACCCTACCCTGGCCTCGCTCCGCCCATTTCCCCGCCTGGCGCTCTGATTGGCGGGCGGGAGCGCGCGCCGCCCGGCCGCCCAGCTCGTTGGCCCGCAGATTCCCCCGTCAGTCACGCGGAGGCGCTTCTCGCGGAGGCGCGGCTTGGTTGGCCTGTGCGCGCTGCCGATCGCGGGCCCGGCCGCCTCTTTGAACTGAATTCGCGGGAAAATTAGGGGTCGGAGCGGCCTTCCTGCTGGCCCCGGTGCATTGTGGGGAGAGAGGGACCCAGCGAGCGGCTTTGGAGCCGTTTCTCGCCTTCAGGGCGTCGTCAGTCACCGCCCCCGGGGGGCTACCGGACCCTTGAGAAGCAGGCATCTGAGGAACTGGGGGGCGAGGGGCCTGTTAGGTTAACTGAGATCCATCCCGGAACATCAAGTCCGAAGTCAAGGGAAGGGGTCTGCCTGGGGGTTGGTGTGCCCACCGGTGGGATCCCTTTTCAGCTGAGGGGCTCCTGGGGCAGGGGTCTTATTCCTTGTCTCCTCGCCGGGCCACCACGTGCCCCACGCCCTCCGTGGCCAAATCCCGCCCGGCTCAGCTATGAGGTTGTGGCGACAGCTGCTGCCGACGCGACTGGGTTCCGCCACTGGGAGCGGCTGACACCGTGGCGGGCGTGTCGTAGGGAAAGGAAGAGAACTAGTTTGTGTAGGTTCTGTTCGTTACTGAGAAAGGTGGTGACTTTTCAACATGATGAGAGCAAAGTCTAGATCCTTACCCCCACACACACACACACAAACTGGTAATTTCTTAGAAGCATGGACCCTCTTCATGAGAATCCATTTATTTTGCGCTCAAAAACTGGAGAGGGAATCGGGTGTTTTGCGGGTCTTGCTTGAAAAGATAGGCCCAATTCAGTCTTCCGGTACAGGTTCGTTTGGAGTTGACCTAATACTCTGCAAGATTAGAATTTCAGGTTGGACAAAGTGATATCCAGGGATAATTTTCCAAATTCAAATCCTGAAATCTTGTATTACGTAAAGAGGAAATATTATCTTTTAAAATTCTCATCTGCAAATAGAGCTGTATCAGACTCTCAATAGCATTTTTCAATCATCTACTCTGAGTTTTCTGTACTTAACTGTAAAAGTTCACAAGTATCCGAAATGGTTATTCACATTGTTTACAAACTAGTTATCTTTGGAATTTTTTTTTTTTTTTTTTTTTTTGTACCGGGGATCGAATTCGGGTCCTTGCGCTTGTGCAGCAGACGGCGAAACCCCTGAGCTAAATCCCCGGCCCTGGAATACTTTTTAAAAGTACCGATTTTTATCACAACTTATGCTTCTTAAAGCAATCTCTACCAATGATCCATTTCATGTAAAAACCTGGCATCTCCAGAACATATTTGAAATTATGCATACCTTTCTTGGGGCCAGGGATTTAGCTCAGTGGTTCTGCCGCCTGCCATGCAAGCACAAGGTCCCGAGTTTGATCCCCAACACCCCCCCCAAAAACGTTGTACCTTTTTTTTCTGAAAATAGGTAGGTCTACTTGTTTTGATATTTAAGGATAACCTGTATTTTACATTCAGACAAAAAGGTCCATACTCTTGTTTGTTATACTATATACTTCATTTTTAAAGTTTCTCCTTACAAAAATAGGCATGTGTTTTTGTTTTAGATTTATGAAATAAGCCTTCTCTAATTAATACCACCCCAGACAGGCTTGTAGGATTTTAGATTTTGGTAAACTGATCATCTTTAGCTTTATAGAGTTAGGGAATGGGGTTTCAGTTCAGTCAAGGTCTGGAGAATTAAATCACACTAAGAAAATCACAACGTATCAAATTATAAGCCAGGATGCTAATTTATTAGCTTTAACTGGCAGAATGCCCACTCTTCATCATTTGTTCAGAGTTCTCTTGTTTTGCAGGGTAAGAAGGACAGATACAGTCAAAGAAGAAAAACCAAATTGTTCTCATAAATCTTTGATGAACCAACAAATGGACCTAGAGAATTTCGATGTTCCTTCAGAATACCATGTTAGGGTTGGGCGTGGGCATTGTTATATACACTAGGTAAACAGCATGAAAATCAAAGTTAACCATGCCATGAGTCATAGTAATGAATCTTCATTTTTAAGTTATTTAGGATTAACTGAGGGGTTATCTTAGTTACATTACTGTGTTCTTCATCAGGTAAGTGAAAAATTCACAGATCATCTCAGAAATGGTCTCATCTATGGCTACCTTATTTATTTTGTATAGTGGTTGCTACATAAGGGATTCAACTTCAAGATTTGTGGGATGAAAAAGGATGTAAGATGTGTTAGGTACACGTACCAATTTCCCACAAGGAATGTAAACATTCGGTACTACACACATGTACTAGTAAGATTTAAAGGTTTGTGATACCAATTCACTGTCAGTGGTATGTACATGTTAAGTTCCCCTACCTCATACTGAATTTGAACTATTTCTAAGAATTTCATTGCTTTTGCCTTCATATCGTTTCTGCAATTGAACTGTAAACTTCTAAAGAGCAAAAGCTATTGTCATATATATATATATATATATATATATATATATATATATATTTTTTTTTTTTTTTTTTGGGTACTGGGGATCGAACTCGGGTCCTTGCGCTTGGGCAGCAGGCAGCAAAACCACTGAGCTAAATCCCTGGCCGTGTCATTTATATTTTTTAACATACGACTGAATATGTGTGTAAGGAAAGAATAGCAATCATTTTAATGCTTTACAGTTACCAGTATACTTTTATCAATATTATCTCACTTCATAATGACCCTGTGAAGCTGGCATTACTTCCATTTTCTAGCTGACAAGGCTCAAAGAGTTTAAGTGACTTGCTTATTTATTGTCAGAGCTGTGACTTGAACCCCGGTTTTCTATTCTTATGGTCTATTGAAATCAGGAAAGTTAGCATTGGTAAAGTACCCCGAGGTGATTGTTTAAATTTGCTTTAAAAATTGAGGAATACCTAGTTTCTTTTACCAAAATGTCATCTCTTTGTACTCTTACTATCTGTTTTTTCACTTGTACTTTGCTTTAAATAAACTTCTATGGTGGTATTTTAAACATTTTTGTGTGTGTCAAGGATCCCTTTGGAAAGAAAGCTTTTGCATATAGGAAGGGGAGGAGGACTTGAGAGGAGGAGGGAATGGGAAAAAAAAGAAGAGGAAGGATATATCATGTACAGGTGCAAATTCCCTATGATGAGTGTTATCATTATGTGTATCTAAAATGTACTCTTACTATCTGTTTTTTCACTTGTACTTTGCTTTAAATAAACTTCTATGGTGGTATTTTAAACATTTTTGTGTGTGTCAAGGATCCCTTTGGAAAGAAAGCTTTTGCATATAGGAAGGGGAGGAGGACTTGAGAGGAGGAGGGAATGGGAAAAAAAAGAAGAGGAAGGATATATCATGTACAGGTGCAAATTCCCTATGATGAGTGTTATCATTATGTGTATCTAAAATGTACCAATAAATGTTTTGCTTTAAAAAAAAAGGATCCCTTTGTCAGTCTGCTGAGGCCTATGGACCCACTTTTAAAAAATGCATAAGTATAAAGTTTATTAGATGATAAAAAGCAATTACAATAAAATACTGTTACCAAAATAGTAAAAACTAAAATTGTGATGTAATACTGAGTGCTTCTTTATGAATGTAATAAGATCTAGCAGCAGGTCAGTCTAATAACCATCAAAATTGCAAAGTAGCGATAAGGATAAGTAACAATTTGAGACACCTGAGAGAACTGTAATGTGATATAGGAATATCTGTTATTTTTCTTGGTAACAAAGCCACAGACATTGCTAACACTACTGTGATTTGTCCCTTACATTAATACATAGTTGAAGGAAATGTTGTATTTCAGTTAGAGGGTAATGTAAAGGTATAATATTTTTCTCATCCAAGTTCAATTGAATTCTATTTGACAAGAATCTCTGGGGGTGGGTGGCTCAGTGGTAGAGCACATATTCAACATGTGCAAGGCCCTGGGTTCTATTCCTAGCACCAAAAAAACGAAAAACAAAATTCTCTGGGGTTTTTTGTTGGTTTCTTTGTTTTGAGGTTTCTTTGTTTCTTTCTTTTTTTTGTTTTTTTTTTTTGGTACCAGGCATGGAACTCAGGACCTTGCACTTCCCAGGAAGGCCTGGTGCCACTGAGCTACAACCCTGACCCCAAAATTTCTACCTTACGCCAGGGATTTAGCTCAGTGGTTTCACCACCTGCTGTGCAAGCGCAAGGACCGAGTTCGATCCCCAGTCCCCCCCCCCCCGCCAAAAATAAAAGAAAGAAAAGAAAATTTCTACCTTAGTACTATAAACTGTTGGGAGCAGGGCTGACAGGTGATTTACCTTAGTTACTGACATGTCTATCCTTGTGACTGGCATAGAATAGGGGTGTACTCACTGAATGTTGATGAATAAGTATGAACACCAGAGTACAAATGTAAATTATGGTAATGATTGAGTACTGACTACATGCCAGACAATGTGTTGTTTTTAACTTTTTTCTGTTTTGGAGACAGGTCTTGTTATGTAGTTCGGGCTGGCCTTGAACTCACTATGTAGTCTAGACTGGCCCTAAACTCGTGGCAGTTCTCCTGCCTCAGCCTCCGAAGTGCTGGGATTACAGGCTTGTGTCATGACGCCTAGCTTAGTTTTTAACATTGTTTTTTTAGGTTTTTTTTTTTTAACTCATTCAATCCTCACAGCAAACCTCTGAGTTAGGAAATAGTATTATTCCACTTCATAGATAAGTAACACACATAAAGTCAGTAGTAGAACTAGGATTCTTATCCAGTCCATCTCTAGAGCCTTAATTCTTGATCATCATGTCACAAACATAGAGAGGTTTTTATTTTGGTACCGGGGATCGAACTTGGGTCCTTGCACTTGCGCAGGAGGTGGCAAAACCACTGAGCTAAATCCCCAGCAAACATGGAGAGTTTGAAGAGATATGTTACATAAAAGACAGGTGCACCTGTACTCCAGCTACTCAGGAGGCTGAGGCAGGAG